CGTACTTCTACCGCGCTGCGCAGCGCTGCACTGGGTAATAAAAAGAATATACAACCGTTAGTGGGCGTCCTACACAGGCATGACGTTTTTACGAACGGGACTTTGCTCTCTTGTTCTATTTATACTCTTTGCTTGCATGGTTAAAAAGAAGGGCGCCGCCTACGTTGGGCACGACTTCCGCCTCATTTTTACCAAGGCAATTCATCAGAAGGACGCACATCTCGGAACATCCATGGAGGTATTATTGAGAAGGAGATCACTCGGCAACAGATCCCTTTGACGCGACAAACCTATGTGTTCCCCGCTTTTGGATCGCGCGCGGGCGTATTACCCTATAATTCACATTTTTTCGTTAGCAACAACTTGCCAACGACATGCACTTATACCATAGAGATATAATAAGAATGCTAGAGCGCTAACAGCTATGTATTCGATGTTCGAAATACGCAGAGTTGTGTGTGTGTACCATCCAAGATGGCTGCCATAGATTCAGCCAATCAAATTTCGCCTGAGCGCTATCATTTTCAATGGCGCCCTCAATGTACACAGAAAGTTCAGTACAACTAGTTACCCGTATTTTGAAACTCGAGCGTTGCGGTGTATAGGTGTAATGTACACGATTTTAATTATTTTTAATATTTGAATAAGATGCTCTACTTGGCCTCTTTTTGGCTACGACAGTTTAATAATTTGTCATTATCAATACTAATTATCATTAATTAAATAATATTCAGCCAGAGGGCTTATTTATGGTAATAATATGTATACTAAGCCTGAAGGTGGCGCTTTCCTGCGGCAGCCATCTTGGATGGTACACCTACACAACTCTGCCTTGCCCCGCCATCTTGTCAGCACTCTAGTTGTTTAATAGCTCTATGATTTATACGCTTCCAGCAGAGCAGTTGTGCAATAAAACGTTTGATTTTAACCCATTAAATATCTTCATAATGAACAATGTTCCCGTGATTAGATTTTTTCGGGCTTTTGGTATGTTATTATTTGTATATTTCAGGAACGGATTCCGTAAAATCTTTATGTTAAAATTACTTCTGTGTTCATTATAATTTTGTCTAAAGATTGACTGGTTCGACTATAAAGCTAAGTCAGCGTAAAACTGAAAAATACTCAGATTTTGGATTCATTTTTCGAATAGTTAACCTCTAGATGTGTATAAGAGACAGAAAATACACTACTGTAAAAGCCAGCTCAACGGAGTAGTGCGCTGATTTAGTTTTAACGATATTACAC